GCTACCTGTAACTCTAGCTCCCAGAAGATCTCATGCCCTCTTCTGGCCTCTAAGGGCACCTGCATGTACATGGTGCATGCACACACACACACACACACACACACGCGCGTGCGCGCGTACACACACACACATACACACAAATAAATAAATAAATAAATAAATAAATAAATAAATAAATAAATAAAAATAGTAAATCTTAGCCAGGTGTGGTGGCACACACCTATAATCCCAGCACTTGGGAGGCAGAGGCAGGCAGATCTTTGTGAGTTCGAGGCCAGCTGGTATACATAGTGAGTTTCAGGACAGATGGGACTACAAGGAGACCCTGTCTCAAAAAAAAGACAAAAAAAATAATAAATCTTTATTTTTAAAAATGTCATAGAACCAGTCCACCCTGTCACCAGAGGGCAAGATTTTTAAAATAAACCTCAAGCAATTTTTTTAGTGTTTTTAGTATCTCTTATATCTGTTTAGGGACAGGCAAACAGAAACATAGAAGGAAAAGAGAAGAAAGACCAGTGGAAAAGAGAGAGTTTCAGTCTTTTCTTTCTTTTTAAAAAATTTCTTTTGATTTATTCATTTTTATATGTATGAGTGTTTTGCCTGTGTGAACGTACATGTGCCCATGCAGTGTACTGCCCATGGACGACAGAAGAAGGCATCAGATCCCCTGGAACTAGAGTCATAGACAGTTGCTAGCTATCATGTGGGTGCTGGGAACCAAACCCAAGTCCTCTGCAAGAGTAGCCAGTGCTCTTAACCACTGAACTATCTCTCCAGCCCCCAGTCTTTTCTTTCTTGAAACATAGGGACCAGCAGAGGTTGGGAAGGAGAGGAATGGAGGCAGTCAAATGTCTTACACCATCAGGAACCATCATACACAAAGGCTGAAAGAATGGGATTAACAGACTGACTCTTCTTCTTCCTTCTCCTTCTTCTGGTCTTTGGACTTTGGACTTTAGGGACAGGGTCTCCCTGTAGTCCTAGCCCCAGCTGGCCTGGACTGGAACTAACTATATACAACAGGCTTGCTTGAGATCTGCCTGCCTCTGTCTCTAACCTCCTGAGTGCTGGGATTAAAGATACACATTGCCATGCCTGACTAAGAAGTTAATTCTTATCCAGATAAATTTAATGTGAAGACAGATTAAAGGAGGGCAATGGTAGCAGTTTACTGTATTTTTTAAATATATTTTATTTAGTATTTTTATTTTATGTATATGAGTATATTGCTTGCATGTATGTGAGTGCACCTGTGTGGTGCAATGCCATGGAGGTCAGAAGAGGGCGTTGGATTCCCCTGGAACTGGAGTTAAGGACAGTTTGTAGCCACCATGTGGGTGCTGGGAATCGAACCCAGGTCCTCTTCAAGAGCAGTCAGTGCTCTTAACCGCTGAGCCATCTTTCCACCCCCCTCTACTGTATTTTTAAGTGAACTTCCTTATATGCTCTATGGATGCATTATGACTGACTTGCTCCATAGGAAAGGATCTGAGCTGCTCAGCATCACTTCAGCAGAAGTTATTATGGAACAATGATGAAGGCCTTTTGATCTGCTGATTAATGTGGAGCATGGCTAAGTTGATTAGGTAGTTCTGCCAAAAACTGTGGTTGGGCCTATTTGCATGGACTAATTAATGCTTCCTTTGACCATCCCGTTCCAGTACTATTACATTTAACTCTTTTAAAGTGAAGCTCCCAGTTGTCATAAAAAAAATGTATAATTTATTTTGACATTTTTAAGTAATATCCATTTTGCTTTTCCCAGTTAAAGAATGAAACCCTGGGGCACTACAGCCATGCATAATTCAGCAATCCCTTCACTAAATGTTTATTAAAGGTCTGGTATATTACAGGCCATATATGGAGTGCTAGGGAGTACTGTGGTGAATGTAAGAAGAAATCCTAACTCTGTGTGCATGGCTTACATGTGAAGGCCACCTGAGATTCAGCCCACTATAGGAGATCCATTTTTCAACTTTGGGGCTGGAGAGATGGCTCAGCGGTTAAGAACACTGGTTGTTCTTGAAGAAGACCTGGGTTCAAATCCCAGCACCCACATGGCAGCTAACCACTGTCGGTAACTCCAGTCCCAGGGGATCTGACAGCCTCTTCTGACCTCTGCAGGCATTGCACAACACGGGTGCACTTACCTACATGCAGGCAACACACGCATACACATAAAAATAATAAATAAAATTTTAAAAAATTAACTTCAACTTTAACCTTATTTAGTTTTCTTGCCAGATGTTGCTGGGGCCATGATAAAACCCTGAGCTAATTAGGCAAATAAGGGATCACTGAGAATGGGGGAATGAGGACAGGCACTTTGTAGTCTGTATTGAAGGAAAGCAAACTCTCCCTTGCAAAAAATAAATAAATAAGTGATAGGGGGCTGGAGAGATGGCTCATTGATTGAGAACATCTGTTGTTCATACAGAGGACAGGACTTTGGTTCCCAGCACTAACATCAGGTGGCTCACAATCACTTGTAACTCCAGTCCCAGGAGGTCTGACACACTCTTCTGGCCTCCACAGGTACCTACAGGCATGTGTGCAAACACACACACACACACACACACAGAGGCACACACATGAGTGGAAATAATAAAATTAAATATTTAAAGAATCACTGGCAGACTGTGCATTAAAATAGACATTAAGGATTGGGAATATAGCTCAATGGTAGAGTGCTTGGCTAGTATGCATGAGGCTCCAGATCCAATACCATCATCCCTGGTACCACTATCATTGAAAAGAAAGGTAAGGTAAAATAGACATTGAGCAAGCATGGTAGAATTGTTTGCTCTGGCACAAAGCAGCTGGTGCATCTAGTCATACAGCACTACATGGAAAGTTGTTGGGTCAAACTGACCTAAAATCAGCAGAGCATCAGTAAGGGTTAATGCTTTGAAGAGCATTTTCCAAATCGTGTTAATTGACTTCACCAATAATCCACAAGGGGAGATCAGCTATTCATATCAGAACCCATTGTACATAATTTGTAGTTTGCTATACATTAATATACCCAAATTGTAGAGCAATTTACATATATTCTCATTTCTCAATACAACTTTAATCACTTTAATTCTTTTTGTTATCATTGAAAGTCATGTAAAGACTCACAGGACTGCAGACTTCCTAGGCAGGAGCTACAATTTTATCATGCTTCCTGCCAAAACCCCAGTCTATGCACTGTGCCCGTGTAGATCTCAGCCATGTGTCTGGCTACTCAGGCTTTTGTAAAAATTTAATTTATTTTTATTTTATGTGTACACCTACATGTATGTAAGTGTTTGCCTACATGTATGTAAGTGTACCCATGTCATGCAGTGCCCATGGAGGTCAGAAGACGGCATCAGATCCCCTGAAACTGGAGTTACAGACAGTTGTTAGCCATCATGTAGGTGCTGGGATCTGAACCCAGGTCCTCTGCAAGGGCAATTAGTGCTCTTAACTGCTAAGCAAGCTCTCTAGTTCCCACCCAGGCTTTTTGAACACTCCTCTATTTAAGAAATGCCTGGCCTAACAAATCACACCTCACTTAAACATCTCCCAGTCTTGGGGCTGTAGAGATGGCTCAGTGGTCAAGAGCACTGACTGCTCTTCCAGAGAGCCCAAGTTCTGTTCCCAGCACCCACAGGCTAACAACTATCCATAACTCCAGTTCTAGGTGATCTGATGCCCTTTTCTGGCCTCTGTGGGCACTGCTTGACATGGACGTCCTTACATACACTTAGGCCACACACACACACACACACACACACACACACACACACTAAAAAATTGAATCTCCAAGTGTCCCCGCAACTAAGATAGAGGACCTCAGGTTCCACTAACCACATGTACCTCCAAGAGACTTCTATTCAGAAGTGAATACAAGGAAGTAGGCTTTTCTCCAAATCTGTTTTTTCTAGCAAGGATGACAATGGAAGCATCAGGCTTTCTCCTCCAAGAAAGCCCTCCTTGAACACACCCACGCATCTCCAGATGGCCCCAGTTAGCTACCCCTCCTCTGGGTTTACTTTTCATTATGCTTTCCCATCATCTTGCAATTATTAGTACCACTGGGTTCTAATCTGCTGTAATACTAAAGTGCTTTAAACCAACACAACAAAAATTAATAAATAAATAAATAAATAAATAAATAAATAAATAAATAAATAGGTAAGTCAAACACAATGAAAGTTTCATTCCTGCTCGTATAACGTCAAAACACAGGGTACTTAGGGTAAGCAGACAAGTCCCCTCAAGGGATGATCTAGGGGTCTAGCCATCTTCAGTCTTGTGACTCTACCATCTGACCTATATGGTGCCATTCCCACATGAATCCTGCCAAAGAGCAAAGGGCATAGGGGAGCCACACACTCGGGGCTCATGGGCAAGGCCCAGAAGTGATGCTTTTATCAGTTTTGTTTACATTGTTGCGGTGCACTCTGCTGCGTAGCTGTACCTGTCACGAACACAGTCGAACTTCCTCTAGGGAAAAGCATATGAGCTTGAGGAAGCCATGGAAAAACCGGTCTTCACTTTCTGTCCTCTCATTTACTTCCTTCTGCCCCAGAATCACCAGCTCTAAGGTTAGCATAAACCCATGCAATCACAGACAGATGTGGCTTTGGTCTGGATTTCTTTTCCTTGGCTCACCTGTGTCTTTTGGCTAAGCGTGTCTCTCTCTCTCTCTCTCTCTCTCTCTCTCTCTCTCTCTCCCTCTCTCTCTCTCTCTCCCTCCCTCTCTCTCTCGTGTGTGTTTGGCAGCCGAGGTGGCGTATATTCATTGGATAGTTATTTCTGAATTCTTTGCTTAAAATTGCTCATATCTCCACACGTCCCATGTGTCAATTTGAAAGGGAAAGCGCTTAGCAGGCAGCCTGGGCACCACATGTGTTTTGAGAGGCTGGCACAGGGAAGAATCGGGAGGTTCCAAATCATTGCACACTGGCCACCCACAGGCTAACAAAGGAAATGTCTTTTTATTTTCTCTGCATCTCTTGGACCAGGCGCTTTGTCAGCAGCCAGAGAGAGCTGGGAGTACGATTCTGGTGCCAGGGACCTCCAGAGTCCTGACTTGCAGAGCCAGCTGACGCTCCAGAAGCTGCTCCAGTGCACCAGAAGCTCTTTGCCGCAGGAGGCTGTGCTGCACAAACTTCTCACACAGGCCCCGTGTCTTGGCAGCTCTGCAGGGGGACGATACCTAGAGCTGGCCAACACCGTGAGTACCTTTTGGCTTGTAGAACACATCTTTTGGCTTGTCTGATTACAGTACAAATATTTTAAGTTTGAGCTCTATGGGATATACTGGGTATTGGCTTTTCTTATTGAACTGAACATTGCATCATTTCCTGTATTACCAGTGATGTTAAATTCTCCAAAGTTACTAGCACTTAAGGGCTTAGGGACTTCATTCTCACTATTAACACCAGAGCAGACTCCTAAAAGATGTTTTAATTAAGTCTATAATGTGTTCAGTTTGAATTACTAGTATCTATGACAGCTTTCGCATAATTAGAATACTTTTGTAGTACCAGACATGAACTAATCAGATATACTTCTTTCTCTTCCCTAATTTGGACTTTATTCCTTTAAGAAACAAAGAGAAAAATATTTCTTTGAAAGTTTGATTATTGTTCCTGCTTGTCCTTTTATTTCTGTTATAAACTATAGGACACTTAGTATGTTTAGTTTAGTATAAACCATCTTTTATTCTATTTTTTGGTGCTAAGGATTGAGCTTGCTGCCTCACACAGGGCAAGCACTACCACTGAACCACCTTCCCAGCCTCTTAGCCTTCCCTTTTACCTTTCAGTGGACCATTGTCATGACTGCCTTGGATAAAGAGCTACTGGCTTCCTTTTCAGTCAGAGGTGGGGAATGAGGGTCTGTGGCTGATGGCTGACCCATTTCCAGTGACTTGCAGTTTACAAACTGAAATTTCTGTCTAACCACAGTGGGAAGATAAGAGGCCTACCTAATTTCTTGAAGTTGATTTTGAATGATAGAATGGCATGTCTACAGCTGTGACGTATATGATCTAATAGTAATTAAAATGTAATCATCACACAAACTCCAATGGAATGCATTCTACAAAATGCCTAACCAGTACTTGTCAAAACTGCTAAGGTTATTTAAACCCAGAAAAGTCTGAGGAGAGGAACTGTCCTGCTAGGAGCAACCTAAGAAAATGTAACCTAAATGTAGCCTCTTTCCTTTGATGAGATCCTGGACCAGAAACAGGGCATTAGATAAAAATCTAAGGACACATGAAAAACACGTGTGCTTTAGTTGAAACTATGCAGCAGCATTGCTTCCTGAATTGTGATAAGGATAACATAATAACATAACAGGTCCAGGCTGGAGAGGTGGCTGAGCAGACACCTGGCTGCTCTTGCAGAGGACCCAGGTTCTGCTCCCAGCACTCACATGACCACTCACAACCATCAGTAACTCCAGTTCCAGGGGATCCAATGCCCTCTTCTGGCCTCCACCATCGTTGACTTACGTACATGCAGGCAAAACACTCATATACATAAAATAAAGTAAATAGGTTTTTTAAAAATTTAAATATAACATGTCAATAAATGAGGATTCCTGGTTGTAGGATACATAAGAACTCTCTGTCCTGTCTCTGCAAGTTTTCTGTAATCTAAAAGTGTTATAAAATTAAAAAAGCTAAGAATTAAAAATATTAAAAACACACATATAATCATACCTGGGTATGATTGCATCTCCTGAGGTCTCTCTAAGCAGACCTGGTTATTGCACTGCTCCTCACTTGAGCACCCTTCAAGGACAATCTTGCGTAGTTTGAGAAGAGCTGGAACTATTGTACTTGCTTCCTGTGTGTTCAAGAGATTAGGCTACTATTGTAAATATATCATCATCCTCTGGAATGGGTCTGGATTTAGCCATATCTGTTATAAATCATTTCCAGCCTGAGCTTCTCTCTCTCTCTCTCTCTCTCTCTCTCTCTCTCTCTCTCTCTCCCCTCCCCTCTCTTTCTGACAGGGTCTCACTGGCCCACAGTGGCTTTGAATTCTTTTTGCAGCTCAAAGACCATCTTGAATTCCTGCTAGAATTGTAAGTATACACCATTATGCCTGGTATATTCATTGCTGGGGCCTCCTGCAGGCACTCTCAAAACTGAGCTACATCCCCAGCCCTTCAGCCTATTTTCAAGATAGTCAATGCCTAGCACTGAGGAGTTGTTCAGAGAAATTAAAGCACAGAGTTCTCACATGTCCCATACCCATATTCCTTCTCTGTTGGCTATGCTCTTAGGAGATACTGCCCAAGATCACCTCTATAATGGCCAGCTTGAGAAACCCTCCCTTAAACACCAGGTGTTCAGCTCACATAGTAGTTACTTGTCAACTTGTCACAAGTAGTTAGATGTCAACTTATAGACATCTCTGTTTGTCCATGACTATGAAGCCTATGAAAAATAATCATAATAAATGGTGGGAATAGTCATTGAAACACAGTGGATGAATTAAAAGAAAAATGGTTTAATTCCACAAATGATTAATAGGTACCACAAGTAAACAAATAAATAAATGAATACATGCTCACTTAAGGCAATCTTTGATCAGAACCTGACCATAAATATAAATATAGGCACTGAAGTCTTATGGTGGCCATATTTTCTCACAAAATGAAAAAATAGGAACTTTTAACTATGTTTTGAACTCATACACTCGATAATGTCCTTAGACTCTGTGGTAGAGGGTTTTGGGTCCTAATTCTTCATCTCTTCCTATGTCTTCACGATTTCTGATGTGACTTCGGGATCTCCTTGTCATGTGAAAACTAGTTAGTGGTTGTGGCATCATCCATTGTGCAGAGAGGTTTGGTTCCCAGCCATCATTGCCTTGGAGTCTGTTCACAGGGGTCCACGAGCCCAGCTTGAGAAATAACCCTCATGTGTGGCCAAAGAAAGCAAATAGCCCCTTTAAATTACACACTAGGGCAATCCCTTTATTTATAAAATCATAGTAAAAGTAATTTATGTTCCTTCTAAAATGAAATCCTGAAGTAATAAAATTAAGGTCTGTTATAAAAAAACAAAAAACACCCCCAAACAGCTAGAAGCTAAAACCATTTATCAGCATCCAGTTAGAAGATGGAAAGCACACAGTAATTCATACAGGGAAAGGTTAATAAAAACAATTATTAGCTGGTAGCACAGCATTACCACTAAGAGGTAAAGAAAACTCCAAGTGACTCGAAGAATAACACAGGGAAAGAGCAGCCCCGACATCCCAGGGTGAGACAGAGTGCCTAGCCAAAGTATACATTCTCATCACTCACAGTTGACTCCAACTCTGATGGTATCCATTGGACAATAGAGATGTTCCTGGTGGTGCTTCAAGCTAGGGATGGCAAACAGACAACCAGCCCGTGGTGGTTTGAGTGTGTCTCCCATAGCTCCAACTTTTGGGACATTTTGTCTCCAGGTGGTGGTGCAATTAAAACTCCTGGAGGTTCCAGGAGGTGCCGCCTGGCTGGAGGAAGCCCATCACTAGGAGAGGGCTTTGAGAGCTCTTAAGCCTTTTGAGATTTCCAGTCACTCTGCTTTCTGTGCATTCTTGAAGACAGTGTCAGCATTGAGAAGCTTCTGGGAGGTAACACAAGTGTTTCTCTGGCTAAGCTTCCTTTCTTTTCCTCCACCATCAGCCTCTCAATACTCTTACAATGGCAATTAAATGTCAGCATGAATTCGGAAGAGATAGTCATACCAAAGCAGGAGCTATGCACAGTGGGGGCTGACCCGCATTGTTGCTAATCTACTGCTTAACAACCTGGCTTTTCCTTTTACCTTAACCAGTGGATGCCCTGACTTTGAGGTTTAGCATACAGCTTAAAAAAACAAACAGAAGATAATGCCATATACAGATGCTTGTAACAACCATGATTTTTATGGAGAAGCAGAATGGCTGAATGTGATTTAGGCTAAGGGATTTATTATAAAGCCTGGACCTTACACAAATACATGAGCTGGTGGTATAGTGCATGTCAGCTATCGATTCTCCACCTAGTGTTCAGCCTGAAGCTACCCTTGAGTCTATCAGCTCAGCACACGAAGCGGGGACAATCTGGGTCCCACTTCTCTCTCTAACTGTGACCAGATGATGCTGTGGGTGACTTTCAGGAGAAGCTGGCACCCTTTATCAAGAAGCTGAACACCCAAACCTGATCAAGGATTCAGAGAAGCTGAAGGAGGAAATCTGGTGAGCTTGAGTTGCTATAAGCCTGGTACACTGGGTTGTTAAGCAGTAGGTTAGCAACAATAGATATAAACTGCCACTGTGATTGGCACCCAGCATGGTGTGAATATGGCCTCCAAAACTCATGCTGAAGCTTAATTGCCATGGTAACAGTATTAGGAGATAGGTACTGTAAGAGGTGATTAGGCCATCAGGGTTCCACCTTTGGAGGTGAGATTGATACCATTATGAATAAAAGGACAAGCTTGCCACCCCCTTCCCTTCTCCCTGCCAGTCCATTACTCTTCTACTGTGTTATGACACAACAAAAAGGCCATTGTCAAATGCTAGCACTTTGCTTTTAGACTTCCCAGCCTGGAAAATGGGAAACTGTGGGTTAATGAGCATCTGTTCACTGTTAAGTTACCAAGTCTCAGGTATTCCGTCATAGTAGCACAAAACAGACTAAGACAGTGCCCCACGCCAATTGTCAGAAGAGGAAAGCAATGACTTCTTCTCCCCTGCCTTACGAACTTCACACAGGATGTCTCTCACAATCACGCAGAACCACACAGGAAAGACAACTACAGGAAGCATGTTTCAGCTAACCTGATGTGGTACCAAGCCACCACAGAGCAATGGTGAAACTGTCATCAGATCCAAACTGTCCTCACAAAGGGATCAGCAAAGTCATGTCAAAATATGGTGGGAGTTTGGGAAAGAGAGGATGCAAGAAGAAAAAATGCCTGTTCTCTAAGGATTTTCTCTCCAAAGATTTGTACTACCAGGGCAGAATACAAATATAGTTGTAATATTAAACACTCTAAATAGGGCCACACTTAAGCATTCTGATACATAAAATATAACCTTTTATTTTATAAACACAATGTTGATAAATTCTGGAACAAAATGTAAATTTCTAGGTACATTCTTTCAGCCATATAATCATTTAAGTAGCCTTAGCTTTGTTATTTTTATTAATAGAAGGGCTAATTGAAATTAATTAAAA